ATGGTCCGCGACAGCCTGCGGCTAATCGATCCCACAAGATCGTTCCTACTACCCGTCTCCCCTATTGCCACCGTTTTCCTATGCATGCAATTTTGGGTGGTAGTGATCGAAGACAATTCAAATAGAATTCCCTTGCCCGAACTAAGAACCCATCTAAAGCCGTGAAATCAACGGCATCAGACTGAAAGAAGAAAGAGACGGTGTAGAGTGAGATAACTTGTAATACTTCTTTATATCGATTAAGTTCCTGGAGCTAGGAAGGGTATATAAAAAAAAGAAGTCAACGACTGTTTTATACTGATGTGAATTAAATTATGAATTGTTAGAATAAATGAATTGTTTATAATGAATTAAAGATGGAGTTAAACGTTACATTTTTGAAGCTCGCTACTATTTATTATTACTATTCATTCACCCTAATTGGCCCATGTATTAGTTATTTACTTCTACCAAAATGAGCTCGAGCGTATGTATAGGAGGTGGCAGGTGTATCCAAATGTGTATACCTATAGGTATGGATATGTAACTGTAAGTATCTAAGATCGTGAGTCGTTTCTGATTAAACCGGAACAAAGAATGGCGTATTTGACGTGCGCGGCTCAATTACCGCACGGGATCTGGGTCAGTGAGTTATTAGGTGGTGGCCCAAACTCATTCCGTACCACCTACAGTCTCAGTGCACTTCATGATATGCTAAACGCTTTCAAATACTTCATACACTCACAATATTTCTATATTTTTATATATTATTTTTTATTATATTTTTATACGTTACTTATTATTATATTTTTGTTCAACTTTATGCATATTGTAATTTTCTTGCATTTACGATGATTACTGTAATTTGTATTTGAACAAATAGCCATGGCACCCACGAGATAATTGTTCCTTTCTCATGAAGGACGCGAAAAAGGTGAAGAAAGTTAATCATTTTTTTTCATTTACTTCTGCTATTGCAGTTTTCACCTGAAAAAATCGATACATTACTTATAAAATAGTTAAATAATTGTTAAATTGTTGATTGTTGAATCGATACAACCAGGATGCCTCATATCAGGTCTGGCCTGATTCCAAATACCTACACCTCTTCGTTGAGGAGGAGCTACAGCTATCACACGCTTTCTCCAATAGCCATAGATAACCGTTTTAATTATTAATTATTCATTATTTACGATATTGTATTACGCAATTTATCTACTCTGCTCAAATAATTTAGCGTACTTATTGAAATAGAACCGAATTTACAAAAACATGAATTTCCCCATGTAGGAAAGCCGTTATCGAATCAATGCCATTTTCCAAAGTCCGCGAAATTTTCTTCGTGTTTTTGGGTGAAATGTGACATTAGGTCAAAGCTGTTGCCGCACAGGTTGCCTGCTCGTCGGATGCAATGCACCCCTAATCGATATCCATTAGCCGCGAGCGACAAATTCGAGCGATCACATTACTGACCTAATGTCATTCTCCTCTTTGGAAATAGAAAACGAGAAAAAATCGGTTCTTTGTTTCTGTTATGAAACACATTTAAAACACTCCATACCATTAAGATTAGAAATTACTCAACGGCTTTTCGCTTGTTTTCAATTATTCCAATCAATAGCTATACATTGAAGTAAATATTTCAGTTCCTGTCATGACACCATGGTAACTTTATTAATTCTGCTACCACTACTAGCTATTCATTCTTTCGCATATTACGACAAATATCGTAAGTTACTTTCTTATTACTTTACAGCACATATTTAAAAACACCCACTCATGAGTAACAGTAAATGCGAAGGTGCTCTCAGAAGTTTTCGTCATGCCACTTAACTTACAAGTTTTTTTTATAATTGATAGGGTAGTTCCAGTACAGGCGATAATTGGAAGAGTATAGAGGGATGAAAGCTGAAAATATTGATCGGTCCTCCAACCCCCCCCCCCCCCCCCCCCCCNTGGCACAATATGGATTTGAACCAGAGGTTCGATGTCCGGAGGCAAGGATGAGACAGTAACAAGATGCACCTCTACTGAACTTTAGGGCTTTTTACAAAGAAAATTAGGTTCTTTCTTCCATCCTATGCACAACGAGTTCTCCTTGCTACAGTACTTTCAGGAGAAATTGTACGTTCACTGGATGAGTGGGAACGGGCCCTACTCCGCGACTTTGTTCGTGGAAAAGGACGTGGTAGTGTTTCACGAATTCCGGTCGAGTTACTGAACGAACCGCCCCCAGAGTTAGATGCAATGCATGATGATAACTTCGTCTCGGTGAGTCTTTTATAAAAATCCCTATGTTTACAAGTTACTATGACTAATGTTATGTAGGTGGGCCTCGCTGAAAACCTAAATTATTGTCCTTCAAACACGTATGATTCAAGAATTCAGTCTTTTCCATGCTATGCAAACAATAAATCCCTGGGAGTAGTTCGAAGTGCATGAGCTTAGCCTCTACAAGATCCTCTTACTCGCTTTTAGAAGTACAAAGTCAGTACAATTCAGACGTGTCTAAGCAATATAATGAATGCTTATCCCATTGGGAGAAGCAAGAACGGATTTGTTAATCGATCCGCCGCACGCGGCTGTCGCGGACCATTTACCCCGTTATAACGGTTCTAGCGTTCTTCATACAGCTCAATCGCTATGCGATTATTTTTATGGCATGACTCTACTGTTAGTTCTTTCGCGCGCGCGGCGCCCCTCCCCCGCGAAACGACAATTCCGTTCCTACTGCACCACCCCCTTACCCCATGGCTCATTCCAACAAAATCAACTACGAGTAGGACTATCAAATCTGTTACCATTGCAGTTTATGGCACCGCCAGAATCAGCTCTTCGTGCAGGACCGATGATGAACGTTCCCCACGAGTCACTTAGGAGTATTTCAATTACAGCAAAACAAACTAAAAAACTGGTAAACGATCTAGGCTAACTTGTCATCATCGTGAACCATTATCGAGAGCGATTTCTACGATTATTTTCAGCGAAACTCAAAAGAAGATCGACCTGTACCCCCAGTTATAATGCCTGCTTCAAAAGTTAGACGTCGACCTGTAACTATGACGAACAGCACGATTCAAGTGAGAATTCAAAAATGTTACAGTAACTAAGAATTATTGATTGATTGTATAAAATTCCAGAAAAGAAACAGGACCGAATGGGATGAGCCGACGCAGGAGACGTTTAGAGAGCTCTCAGGTCTACTTCAGGTGGGAACAGATAATTAATAGAAAGTTAACATTGCTTTTCGAAAAACGGTTGAGAAAATTAGTTTTTTTTCTAAAACATACCTCACAGCCAGTTTAATCGATATTCAATGAATTTCACATGTCCTTAACACTGAGGGCCTTTAAGCTAGCTTTGTGGGATTGTGCCAATGGGGGCTGTAATTGGTGGGTTGCTTGATCGATTGACTGGCGACCAATTATGGACCTCGCTTACACTACCTCAATTTAACCTCCACAGTTTTCACCCTAGTATGGTTATGGGTACATCCAGCCATATCCAAGCTTTTCGATTTTTCTCGAGAAATGAACTCGCTGTAAATCACCGTCATCGATCAGGAACAAAACCTTGCAATTGCTAATTTCCATTATCTTCATAAATCTTTGTTTATTCCTTATTATCGGATTTAATTCCTGGAGCAAAAATTTGGCTTCAGACGTTCATCGATCGGCGAAAACCCCTTCTACAACGTGTGGCTATCCCTTCGGCATCAACTACACCATCCTCACGCAGTACCAATCATGACGACAAGACCGGCGATACCAGTTCGGGCACAGTGGTAGTAATGTATATCGATCGATTTCAATTTCCAGTATTG